TTTTTTTAATTTTTTTTATATAAGTAATTACCTGCAGCAAACTAAGTAAGCAGATGGCTCGTCCTCCAACTTCTGCTTCGGCAACCATCTGTGGACGCTCCAAACCAGCTTCTTCATCTCCCTCTCCCGCCATCTCTTCGATCTTTTTTCCTCTCTTTTTTTTTCGATATTTTCTACTTTTTTCGAGTACGTATTTAATTTGATTGATGATAGTAATTCAGTGTATATATATATAGACGAATATTGATTATCTATTTTTAGGTATTATTTTGTATCTTAGGCAGCATGACCAATATTTTTATTTTTGGAATGAGAACCATCAACTTGAGTAGTAGATTCTGCTTCCGATTTTTTGTTTCCTTTTTTACATAGATTCTATTTCCAACAACCACAATAATTCTACATGAATTATATTTGGTACTTAGTTTCTTAATTTTATGCATGCATGCATGGCATGGCAATTAATTTTTTTTTTTGGAAAATACAACACATATTTCACTATTTGATATAAACGCATACTCGTCTTTTCCTTCTTTTATAATTCCAAATTTGTTCTTTCCACTACACCCATCCCCATTTTTCATTTTTTCCTTTTCTTTGTTTAAATTATTTTTTGGCCCATCGAATACTTCTATTGGGCCTCCTAAATCTGGCCCAATAACTACCCTAAATAAATTAGACCAATATTAATTATTTTTCGTGTCGACAAAACGTCTAGCTAAATAAACTTTCTTGGTAATATTATATATATATGATTAGATCTACAGATATCATTATAAATTGATACGTATAAAATACACTATACAGATAATAACAAGTACTGAAGAATTTCTGTAATTAATAGAAATAAATAACATAATGTATATATAAAAAACAAGGGAGCAGAATTCAAACAGTAGCTGCAGAAAGACAGAGAGAAAACAATGGCACAACAAAGAATTTCAAAAAACAGCTGAATTAAAATCGAGCGCAAAGCGACAAGTCACCCGATCGATATACCTAGAAATTATACTAGATCTATACATTATGATCATGAAATTGCATTTAGAATATGTATATATATGCATATGATGCAAGCATGTCAATTAAAAGCAAGAAATTAGTCTTTTTCGTCTACGCGCAAAATATGTCGGAACGAGTACCGATATTCACAAAAAAGAAACACGATCGGAGAAAACAGACAACCTAAAGACGAAAATACAACAAAAGAATGTACAGCAAGTTCGAAAAGTCATAATCTGCTATCTCTTTTTCATCAATGTAAATAATATATGGTCTTTCCTCAAAAGTCCTATTTCCTAAATTCATAACAACCTTATTATTATTATTTTCGACTTCTATTTCATGCTTGAAGTACCTGACAGTGCACAATGTGACTCTTCAACCCGCTTCTCCCCGAAATACTCGACCACAAATTCGTGAACAAATTCCTAAAATGCCCCTTGATTGCAATATTTTCCCAAATACCCGAACTGCCCTCCGCCCGTTTATCCGGGCACGAGACATCCAGCATATTAATACTCATATTATTCCGAATAATACAGAGCTTCCCGTTAATCGGGACAAGCGCAGCGGCTCAAGAGCCGGGAATTTCGAGATGATCTACTATCATGTACC